ACGCCCTGGACCCCAGAAGACCTGGGTCAAGGCCAATTCCAGCCCCCCGTGCCCTGCCCTGCTTCAGCCCCACCAAGCACACCTGGCCACAGGTGGGCACACACAGGCCTGGGGGAGCTGGGGCCGGGGTCTCCGGAGTCCCGGCCCATTTTCCAGGGCGGTTTGGAATCCTGATCCCTTTCCTGCTGACGCAGCCCCGGGGGGTGCCAAACCTCAGGTATGTCCCCGGGCCGCCTGGCGGGGAGGCGGGGGGGGGGGGGGGCCTGGCAGGACAGCCCTTCCCTGCGCCTCGCTCCCCCCTCGCCCCAGCTGGAGCCAGAGTTTGCCTGGTGGAGCCCTCAGCACAGCGCCAGCAGGCCGGGCGGGGGCGGGGGCGGGGGCTCCCGGCCCGGCAGGGACTCTTGGTCAAGGGCCCGGCTCCTGCCGCTCCGCCGGCCTCGTAAAGACGCCGCTGTCTGTGGGGAGCTGGCGGGGCTGCCTGTCCCAGGGCCAGGCGCTGGGAGGAGGAGACACACACACGCCCACAGGGTGGCTACACGCGCTTCTGTGGCCACGTAGGTGCTCAGTCACGCACCAGCAGTCCCAGGACTGGGGGCCGGCCGCTCAGTGTGTGGGGTCGGAGTCAGGGGGCCGGGGCCTCTGGGAGCAGGGCTCAGGGAAGGCTTCCTGGAGGAGGCAGGGGCTTGGCAGGGTGGACAGAAGTCCGCCGGGGCAGCCTCGGATGTCCTGAAGCCTTGAGCCTGGGTTTCTAGGGTTTGCTTGAGACGGACCCCAACTCGGGGACCTGGGTCGGAGCCGGGCATCGCCAGACGCAGCCAGGAGGCCCAGGCGGGCTCGGGTGTTGCAGGCACCTGCTGGCGAGCTCTGGTGACCCCCATGCCACACTGCGGACATGGAGGTCGAGAGGGAGGCAGGGCTGTTTACGCGCCGCGGGGACGCTGACCTGCAGCCGTGGCCGCTGACCCGGTCACAAGCACACGCTCGGGTCTCTGGCCAGAACACTAAAGCTCCAATAAGCCAGCCTGGAGACGGTTCCGGCCAGGCCTCCCCTCCCCCCGCCCCGTCCGTGTCTGCGAGGGGCTTTGATGGGGGCGGGGACCCAGGCAGACAGATGTCTGCCTGCAGGTCTGGCAGCGGGGGGGGGACGGGGGGGGGGACCCTGGCCTCGGCCTCTGCCTACCGCCTGGCCCAGCAGCACAAACACTTGGAGATGGCCGCCCCAGTGGAATCTGGTTGTGGTCAGGCCGTGGCTGAAGAAGCCACTGGAAAAACACGCAGCCCACGGGGCCAGGCCCAGCTTACGTTTCACAGGGTGGCAGCGGCCTGGCACGCAGGAATGCCTCCCCTGGGACACGGCCACCGCGCCGGGCCGCCCTCAGCCCTGGTCAGGCTGTGACTCACCTCCCTGTGTGTGCTTGGGGTCAGGCCCCCTGGCACGACTCTGTGGAAGGCCCCTGGTCTGCGTGCACGCCCCTGGCGATGCGGAGCTCACCCCCTCCAGGAGGCCAGGGGCCTGTGGCCGGGCCTGGTCCCCCCAGGAGGCCCTAACTCCCGTGGCCACGGGGAGGGGAGGCCGGGGCAGCTGAGCGGGGAGCCCCCTGCATCCCCCAGGGCCCGGTCCCCTCAGGCCACCTGGGACCAGTGCGCCCCAAACGGACCAAGTGCCCCACTGCAAAATGAGCTCCTAGCCTGGCAGCTGTGGGTCAGGGATCCCCATCTGCTCCCGCCCTGAGCTGCAGGCGGGGCAGGAGGGTTCAACACGCATTGAGCACCTACTGCATGCATCTCCTCACCGACCCCTCCCAGTGAGGCTGGTCCCGCGAAGGCCCCGTTTTGCCGATGAGGAACCCCCCCCCCCAGGCCACCACAGCGACCCAGGGAACCTCGTTCTCCTGACGGCGGCGGCCCCTGGTGGCCACCGCGGGAACTGCAGGCTGGTTGCTCCCCAAGTCCCTCAGTCCTGTTCCCTGGGCACAGCCCCCGCCAGGTCACCATGGAAACCACTAAGCCACAAAACCAGCTCAGGCCAGATCCCCCCCCCGACCGGAGGGCTAACCCGACGTGACCTCTGGTCTCCAGTTGTCACCCTCAGTGACGCGCGGGGTGCTCCAGGCAGCTGCAGCCCCTCCCTCCCCTGCTCCGGCGCCGCCACCTCCCCCCCACCGCCCCGCGGCCTTTGCCCTGGTGTTGGGTTCCGACCCCCAAGGCCTGGGTCAGGCTCCACTTCCTCGCCAGGGTCTGGGGGCCTCCCAGCTTTCTCCAGGGCTCTGGTGGGCTGGGCCTTCAAGCGCCCCCTGGAATCGCTAGACTGGGCATGGACCTCACCAGGCACTCATGGAGGGGCTCTAGAAACTTCTACCTTGAAACTGTCTAAGGGGAGGACCTTGAAACTGCCGCTGCATCCCTAACTTGGACCTGGACACACCTGTGACCTGGGGCGCCACGCGAGCTTACAACTCCCGTTTCCAGAATGACTGAAGCAGCAGGTGCAAGGGGAGGAGTTCAGGGTGAGGGGCGGGGCCAGACGAGAGGCGGGGCCTAGGTGGGCTGAGAGGCAGGAGGCTGAGAAGGTGGGACGGGGCTGAGGTCCCAGAGAGAGGGTGGGGCCAGCTGAGGGGCGGGGCCTAGGTGGGCTGAGCCACGTGGCCGGCGGGTTCTCTCGCTCGCGGCTTCCGGCCAGTATGGGACGTGGAACGCGGGTGGGCGGCAAGGGAGACGCCCTCACAGACAGACCTGGAGGGCGGGAGGGAACAGGACGAGGAGGGCGGGGCGGCAGGGCCGGACACAAGCACGCGTGCTGTGAGAGCGCCTCCTGCAGGCCCTTGGGGAAGGGGCAGGGACGTGGGGCCCCTGGGGGATGTCCAGCCTCACCCGGGGCTGTCGGCTGCCACCAGCTGTTCCTGCTGTGACCGGGACGTCTGCGAGGGCCCCAGGGGTGCGGGGAGTCCAGTGCTGGCAAGGTGCCAGCCTTGTGCCTCAGTTTCCCCAACTGTCCGGTTTAGGGAGGTGCATGAGAACAGCACTAGCTCCCCCTCCAGCTGTCCCCCAACTTGCTGTGGTGTCTGACTGCCCAGTGGCGTCGCTTCCGGGCTCCCTAACTGGCTCTGACGGAGAGGCCAGGACCTTCCGTCTGCCCGCTCACTCCCCAAAGGCCCGCAGCAGCCGGGGCTGGGCCAGGCCACAGCCGAGGAGCCGGGAGCTCCGTCCGGGTCTCCCGCGTGGGTGGCAGGGGCCCAGGGACGTGAGCCCTCACCTGCTGCCCTCCAGGTGCCCCTGAGCAGGGAGCTGAGCTGGGACGCAAACGCAGGCCCTCTGACATGGGATGCAGGGTCCCAGGCCACGGTTTAACCCATGTGCCACAAAGCCCAGCCCCAAGCGGTATCTCGACTGCTGCACCGAACGTCTCCCCCCCTCCCCGCCCCCGGCCCCGTCTCCTGCCTGCCTTTGAACTCTTCTTGCTCTCAGAAACCGCAGGGCGCCACCTGCGAGGCCCCCGGACCACCCGCTGCCCCAGGCCCTGGCCTGGCCGGCGGCCCGAGTCCCAGTCTGGGAGACCAGAGGCAGAGCCAAGCCCCTCGTCTGCACCCCCTGCAGGCCCCGGCCAGGCGCCCCATCAGCCCAGCCACCTCCCTGCCCCGAGGGGCTGAAGCCACAGGGCACCCAGCTGGGCTGAGCTGGGGCGGAGGCCACAGTGACAGGGGTCAGAGTGCTCCCAACCGTCTGGCCCTACGCACGCCGCTCTGAGAGTGCCAAAGGGGGGAGATGGGCAGGACGGGCAGGGCGCACGCTTGGGGCATTTATCGACTTCCAACTGAAACCAGACCCGAAATTCCCAACAGAGCAAAACAGCACAAAGAAAGACAAGGAAACACGGGGCCACTCCCAGAATCCCTTGCTCAGGACGGGCCCCAAGCCCTGCGGAGGGGAGCCCCAGAGACCACAGGCGTCCCCGAGGCCGCTGTCACCTGAGACGGATCTGTCACGAGCGGACCAGGAGATAAGTCAGCCACTTTAATGGGAACCCGTGTGCCAAGGCCCCGGCACGGGCGGGTCCAGCCTGACCATAGACATCGCCGCTGGAAGCCAGCGAGCAGGCAAAACGCCCGGCCCGCACCCATCCCAACCCGGCAGGCGTGGCCGGCGGGTGCGCACAGGGGCCACCTCCCAGTGCCCTGGGCCTCTGAGGTCGCCGTCTGCACGCTCACGGGGCCGGGGCGGGGGGCCTGTCCTGCTCGTCCCCACACTCAGATGGAGGCTCCAGCGCTGGAGGTGGCTGACGGCGGGGGGCCGGCCCCCTGCCCGCCGACCCGGCCCTGCAGACAGAGACCGTCAGAGGGGGCGGCGGGGGAGGCTGCCAGCGTCCAGCCGCCACGCCCGAGGCAGGCGCAGGAGGCCGTGCCACCCCAGCCGCCCTGGGCTCCGGCAAGGACTTGGGGCCACCGAGAGCGCGGGGGACGGCTCAGCTCGGCCAGAGGGAAGAGGCCCAGAAGCCCAGCCCGACGGCTCCCGCTGCGCCGCAGGCCCAGTGTCAGGCCCACCCTGGGGAGAGAGCGGTGACCAGGCGCTCTGGCCTCGTGGTGGGCCTGAGTTCCCGAGAGGAGGGGAGCGCCCAGGGCGGCCCTGTGGGCTGTGAGGGCAGCGTGTGGGCGGGCGCAGCAGGGGGCCCGCACGCCCGCACAGCCCCTGGGGCTCCCGGAGTCTCACTCAGGGCAGGGCCAGGCGCCCCCGTGCCCTCTGCCCTGCCGGGTGGCCGTGCCGATGCAGCCCAGGCGCCGCCCCCGCCGGCGTCCACTCTGAGCTCCCAGGGGCGGGGAAGGCGAGCCCCTCCCAGCCATTCCCCGGGGAGGAGCCCAACTTTCCTCCCGGCCGCCCCTACCCGGGGGACCCACACCGCCTCTTCTGGGGCACGGCGCCCCCAGCCCCGCGCCGTCATCCTGCGGGCTGTGGGGGCAGGGCAGACTTCGCGGTGAGCGCGGGGTGGACCCCACGGCCGCTCTCACCTGGGACTTCAGGCAGGCGCCCCCTGGAGGCGGCTGGAGGGAGGCCAGCGTCCGCAGGCTCAGAAACACGTCTCCAGCGCCGGCCAGCAGTGGGAAGGGGGCAGGGGAAGCTGCAGGGGGCCGGGTCACAGGGGGCGCGGGGTCAGCTGGGGCTGCCCGGGGGAGCGCAGTGAGCGCCGGGTCCCAGGGGGCCGGCCGGCCTCACTCACCGGGGCCGGGCGGCGGCGGGACCCCGACGTCGGGGGCGTCCGGGGCTGCTCTCCCGGCGTACGTGGCGGCCTCCTCCTGGAACTTGCCCGTGTTCTTTTTGTAGCGGATCCTTTTGTTGCCGAACCAGTTGGAGACCTGAGGACACACGGGGTGGGGGTGGGGGGGCGCTGCAGGGCCACGCCCCACGCCCATGGGCACGCGCTGGTGACTGAACCAAGGACCCGGGAGACGTCTGCTGGAGGACACCCTGGAGGTGGCGTCTCACAGGCGAGCCGTGACCTGCGCACTCTGAACTCCTTCTGGAACCTTCTAGATTCCTCTGGGAAACGCGACAGCCAGGGCGACCCCACTGCTGGGAGGTTGGCAGGAAGGCCCGGGACCGAGTCCCAGACATCCAGGGACAGCGGGGCGCAGAGGCGCTGCAGCCTCAGGGAAAGGAAGGAGGATGGCAGCCGAGCCCTGGTCTGACCCCAGCCAGGCGGCGGCGATGTCCGGCCGTTCTGTGCGCTGCAGCAGGCCAGGGGGCGCCATGGCCTCGGCTGCCCGGTGACGGCAGCACCCCCAGTCCTGACGTCGAGTCGGGGACCCTGCCCACGGGCCTGAGCCCCAGCGCGAGCCAGTGCCTCGCCATGCCAACTGGACACCTCCGTGTCCCGAGGGCGGGGACACGCACGGATGAAGCGGCTGAGTGGCCGCAGGACAAGCACTGCTGCTCCTTTAAAAACGCTTTGTTCCTGGGGTGGGGTGGGGTGGGGTGGGGTGGGTGGGTGCAGCAGTTCCGACACCGCTTGGACGCCCGCACCCGGTATCGGAGCGCCGGGCTCAGTCCTGGCTCCGCTGCCAGCGCCAGCGCCCTGCGCATGCGCGCCCTGGGGTGGGGGGCAGCCGTGCCGGCTCCGGGGCTGGGGTCCCTGCGGCCCACCGGGGAGACCCGGGTGGAGCTCCTGGCTCCTGGCGTTTGCGGAAGGACCAGCAGTTGGGGGATTCCTCTGTTCCTCCGCCACTCGAAATGAAATAAAGGCTTTTTAAAAGCTTTCCGCTAATGATTTTTTAGTTTCTCCCGCGGCCCTGCCGGCGGTAGCCAGGACAAGAGCGTCTCCCTGGTGCCTGGGCTGCCTGCTCCACCCCAGCCTCCCACCACCCGAAGGGGCCTCCTGCTGCCCCAGCCTGGGGTGGGCCCTTGGCTTCCACTTATCTGTACGGAATGTTCCAGAACTCTGCAGAGCTAAGTCTGCCAACACTCTCCCGTGCGAGTTCGCTCGGCACTGCAGAGGGACGAAGGCGAACCCGGCGTGGGTGAGTGCCGGGGCCCCTGGGCGCACCTGTCCTAGGTGCAGGCGCACGCCTCGCTCTGGGCGTCTTCTCTGCCCTCAGCCTGAGCTGCCGCCAGTCCTGTCCTGTCCCTTGCAGGGCCGGCGCCGCGGCGTGGCAGGTAAAGCCTCCACCTGCGGCGCCGGCACCCCACAAGGCACCAGTTCCAGTCCCGGCTGCTCCACTTCTGACCCAGCTCCCTGCCAACGTGCCTGGGAGAGCAGGGGCACCTGCACCCAGGTGGGCGACCCGGAAGAAGCTCCTGGCTTCGGTCTGGCCCAGGCCTGGCCGTGGTGGTCCTTTGGGGAGTGACCCAGCAGGTGGAAGACCTCTGTGTCTCCCCACATCCCTGCCGCTCCCTGTCTCTGTAACTCTTTTAAATAAATAAAAAAAAAATCTTAAAAAAAAACCTCCCTTGCCCGAAGGGAACAGCCCCTCCCCAAACGGTTCCTGGTGAGACCCTCACAGCCTGCGGAACAGCGGGGCCCACATTCAGGACCCTCCCTTCAATCGTCGCCCCCGAGAGCGTCCCGAGCCCTGGTGGACCCAGTTAGGAGAGTCCCAGCACAGAGCTCCGCTGCTGGGCGCGCTCGTGCCCAAGGCACACAGGGGCGGCAGGGGGCGGGGACGGGGCCGCCGTGTGCACCCAGTCACACAGGGGGCGGCACGGGGACGGGGACGGGGCCGCCGTGTGCACCCAGCTCTCTGCAGGGGGCGGCAGGGGGTGGGGACAGGGCTGCAGTGTGCACCCAGCTCTCTGCAGGGGGCGGCACGGGGTTGGGGCCCTGACAACACACAGCCCAGCGCCCTCCCCTTAGGCCCCGGCCTTGCTTCTGAGGACCCCAGAGCAGCCCAGGTGACCCCGGGGGCTGCTGGGGGCTTGGCCTGGGCTGGCGGCCACCTGTGGCAGGGAAGGCGGGGAAGGGGCTGAGCACACGCGAGGCTTTGGCCACACGGTTGTGGACAACTGGGGACTGAACCAGCACACGGAAGCCCTCCCTCGGCTGCTCCAACGATGAACAAACAAAGCTGTAAAGTTTCCTGACCTCTTGGCCAGCTGGTCAGGGAAGAGAGGGCCCGCGCGTACCCCGTGCTCAGGGTGCGGACCCCCGCGGGGCCCCGGAGGCCGGCGGGAGGCGTCACCTGGGAGACGGTGATGCCGCCCTTCCTGGCCAGCTCCTCCTTGGCCTCCTCGCTGGGGTACGGGCTGCTCAGGTGGGAGTAGAAGTACTCGTTCAGCACCCCCGTCGCCCACTTGCTGAAGTTGCGCCGCTTCCGCCTGCAAGGACAGACCCCCGGCGGTGGGCCCTGCTCGCGGCCCCTCTCCCCGGACCTCCCCGGGAGGACGTGCGAGGCCCGCGGCCCGGACCTGGCATCCAGGAACCGCGAGCGCAGGGTCATCACGGCCTCGCAGGTGCTCTGCTTCAGCTGCGTCTGGATGGCGCGGAACCTGCCCCGGATGACGCCCACCATGCGCTCCATCTCCAGGGCGGACACGGGCCTCATCCTGCCCTGCTCCCGGAGCAGGTGGGTGACGTGCGTGGTGAACTCGCCGCAGGCCTGGGGTGGGCACACACGCGCGCCAGCCTGTGACCGGCAGCAGGGGGCAGCGCAGGGCCAGGGCCAGGTCCCAGCCCCCCGCCCCGCCCCCAACAGCTGGCACACAGACTGGCTTTGAGCGCGCCCTCCCCGTCCACACCGCAGAAGGCGGGCGTGCGCGGGGTGAGCTTTCTGGGAGAATCGCGTCCGCGCCAGAGGGTCGCGTCCACGCAGAGATCACCTGTTCATATTTCTCCAGCTCAGAGCGGTACCTCTGCCGGATCTGGGCCAGCTGGGCCCTGTAGTCCGAGCGCTCAGTGCGACCGCCATTGGGACAGCCGCCGGGGGCCGCCGCGCCGGCCACGCCCTCGGCCAGCAGCATGCTGTCCAGCCGCAGGAGCTGGGCGCCGGGGGGCTCCTCTTCCTGGGGGCAGCAGATGCTCACCACTGCAGAGGGGAGAGCGGGACAGAGCAGGACGTGCTGCCGGCACGGCACGGCCATGGAGACACGGCACAGTTCGCGTGGAACGCTTAAGGGAAAGGACACTTGGCTTCCGGGGAAACTTGGTAGCAGACGTGGGGTGACCCGCTCTGACGGTGTGCACGAAGCCGGGCAGGGCAGCGCCAGGAGGCGCCCTGTGCTGGGAGGCGTGAACCCCGGAGCCAAGTCTCTGCCAGCGCTGGGAAGGAGGGCACAACCCAGGCGCTGGCACGGACACACAGGCAGGCAGCGGAGCCCGGCATCCGGGGCGGGGCCCTCCCATCGTGCGTGCGTGCGTGCATGCGTGTGCGTGTGTGTGTGTAGCGGGGCGTGGGGTGGCGTCACTCTGTAAGGTCAGAGCGGCTGGGAGCTGTGGCTCAATGTGATAAATCACCTGTTCGGACCCCTGCATCCCATACCACAGTGTCTTAGTCCAGGCTCCACACTCTTGTTTTTCTTTTTTTAATTGATTTATTTGAAAGTCAGAGTTACAGAGAGAAAGGTCTTCCATTCGCAAGTTCACTCTCCAAATGGCCAGGGCTGGACCAGGCAGAAGCCAGGAGCCAGGAGTGTCTTCTGGGTCTCCCACGTGGGTGCAGGGGCCCAGGCACTTGGGCCACCCTCCGCTGCTTCCCCAGGTGCATTAGTACGGAGCTGGATTGGAAGTGGAGCAGCCAGGACTTGAACCTGCGCCCATACGGGATGCCAGCATCACGGGCGGCAGCTTAATCCACTAGGCCACAACACAGGCACCCCCAGGCTCCACTTCTGATGCAGCTCCCTGCTAATGCACCCTGGGAAAACAGCAGGTGACGGCCCAAGTGCTGAGTGCCCGCCACCCACATGGGAGACCCGGATGGAGCTCCTGGTTCCTGTCGTTGGCCCGGCCCGGCCCTGGCTGTCGCGGGCATTTGGGGACTGAGCCAGCAGGTAGATCCCTCTCTGTCACTCTGCTTCTCAAATAAAAGGGAAAGAAAAGCCGGCGCCGCGGCTCACTAGGCTAATCCTCCACCTTGCGGCGCCGGCACACCGGGTTCTAGTCCCGGTTGGGGCGCCGGATTCTGTCCCGGTTGCCCCTCTTCCAGGCCAGCTCTCTGCTATGGCCAGGGAGTGCAGTGGAGGATGGCCCAGGTGCTTGGGCCCTGCACCCCATGGGAGACCAGGAAAAGCACCTGGCTCCTGGCTCCTGCCAGGATCAGCGCGGTGCGCCGGCTGCAGCGGCGGCCATTGGAGGGTGAACCAGCGGCAAAGGAAGACCTTTCTCTCTCTGTCTCTCTCTCTCACTGTCCACTCTGCCTGTCAAAAAAAAAAAAAAAAAAAAAAAAAAAAAAAAGGGAAAGAAAGAAACTTGGAGAAGCTGAGGAGCTAACGCTGGCCGGAGGAAAAGGGCAAAACACCGTCCCTCAGCTCGGGACTTGTGGCAAAGCCCACGCTGTACCGTGAGGACATGTGAGGAGGGGAGGCAGAGGGAGGGGTAGAGTCCACAGACGGACGGACAGATGGACAGAGACCAGTCGCTGGCCTGGAAACAGGCGGGAAAGAGACAGCAACAAAGGGGCGGAGCTTTGCTGTAGCTGCTGGGTCAGAGGTGCCTGTGCCACCCCGCCCCCCACCGTGAACAAGGACAGGACGCAGGGCACAGGGCCCCGTGTGCAGTCAGAAACCTCAGAGCCCACATTCCTCCAGCGACCTCCACACGCGCCTGGGGCGGCCCCACCCGCAGGCGCTCCTCTGACTCTGCGCACCTCTTCCTTCTCTCTCTCTCTCTTTTTTTTCCTAAAAAGACTGATTTGAAAGACGTCTTCCATCTGCTGGTTCACTCCCCAAATGGCAGCAACAGCAGGGCTGGACCAGGCCAAAGCCAGGAGCGGGGAACTTCATCCGGGTCTCCCATGCGGGTGCAGGGGCCCAAGGACCCGGGCCACCTTCCACTGCTTTCTCAGGCCACAGCAGAGAGCTGGATCAGAAGTGGAGCAGCTGGGACTCGAACCGGCGCCCCTATGGGATGCCCACACTGCAGGCGGAGGCTGAACCTGCTGACCGCCCTCTGCGGGGCCCTGCACACCCTGGGCCCTGTCCTGGGATGGGCCCAGCAGCTCCTCCCTACGTGCCTGCAGCTGGGCCGGGCACCAGGACCAGGCTGAGACCACCAGGGGCCAGCGCACCAGAGCCGGGTGTGGCAGGGCCTCCGCCACCTCTTCGGTACAAGTTCGGCTGAGGAGGGCAGCAGCCGCGTCAGCCCCCGTGTGTGTGCGGGGCGGGGGGGGTGCTGCAGGGCTCGCGGTGCCCTCTTAGGAGTCTATTTTTAAGGATTACTTGTCTATTGAAAGGCGGACAGAGAGAGAGAGATGTCTTCCATCCGCTGGTCCACTCGCCGAACGGCCCCAGTAGCTGGGGCCGGGCCAGGCTGAACCCGGGAGCCAGCCAGGGCTCCACCCGGGCCTCCCCGTGGTGGCCGGGCCGCGGGCACCGGGCCGTCGCTGCTGCCTCCAGGTGCCTGCGGGAAGAGGGACGGCCGGGACTCGGCCCGGCGCCCCGGTGTGGGATGCGGCGTCGCAGGCCGGCGCTGCCCCTGCTGCACCACCACGCGGCCCCCTTTACTTACTGTCAATCCAACAGGAAGCATCTCAGAGCCGTCGAGGGCGAGTACCACAGCAGGTGCCGAGGAGTCTTCAAAACACCCGAGAACGTCGGCCGGCGCCGCAGCTCGCTAGGCTAATCCTCCACCTGCGGCGCCGGCACCCCGGGTTCTAGTCCCGGTTGCCCCTCTTCCAGGCCAGCTCTCTGCTGTGGCCAGGGAGTGCAGTGGAGGATGGCCCAAGTGCTTGGGCCCTGCACCCCATGGGAGACCAGGAGAAGCACCTGGCTCCTGCCTTCGGATCAGCGTGGTGTGCAGGTTGTAGGGACCAACTGAAGGAAGACATTTCTCTCTCTCTCACTGTCTAACTCTGCCTGTCAAAAAGCACCAGAGAACAATAGGACTTACTATTCCCCAGTCAAACCTCTCTTCACAAGAACACTCGCCCCTCAGGGGACAGGGGCTTCCCGACACCGGTCTCCACGCCCCCATCCTGAGAACTGATCCTGGGACCACTGACACCCACGCTCAGAGATGTCCTCCCTGGACGTACACAGTGGTCACCCACGAGCAGCACGCCGTGAACGCCAGGAGAGGCAACCTAGTGTAAGAGGAAAACCCTGTGCCTCGGTCACCATCATCAGTCCCTGCTGGGGATGCCGCTGACCCAGGGCCGAGGGCTTGGACTTGGCTGGAGCTGTGTGCCAAGTGCAGCGTGGGCCCCTCCCCCCCCCCCAGCTGCTCCGTGCACACGGCACGCAGCGCCCTCAGCCTGCTCCCCAAGCGCAGTCCTGGCCTGATCACGGTCATTAGCCTGCTCTGTTGTTACCATTAATTACAGCAAGCTCTCTTCCAGCAAAACACCCCAAGCATCCCAGGGGTGCCCCGGATTCTCCCGGGGCTCCCCATTAGCCACGGGGCCCAGGGGCTGAGCACAGGGACCCCGCCTGCCACTCGGGGGGAGCAGGGTGTAGAACACAGCCGGCCCACGCCCCATTCCCTACTTATCAGGGCGATAAAAACCTCCGTGAACCAAACCACAACCTGGAACCGAAGCCAGCGGGCAACGCGCCGTGCTTTGTAGGGGGCTGCTGTGACGGGGCATTAGGCGTCAGTAGGGTGGGGCCCACGTGGGGCCCACCCAGCAGGCCTGGCGTCTTCCTAGGCAGAGACGCAGGGGGCGCCACGGTGAGACGGCGGCCACCCACCGGCCAGGCGGAGGCCCTCAGAGAGAAGTCGCCGGCCAGCACATCCGGCCGAGCTTGGCGGCGGCTGGAGCTGGGAGCGGCAGCCTGAGCAGGCTGATACAGGAGCGCACCTGGGTGACATCGCCCCTGCCCAGGGAAGGCACTGTGGGGCAGCTCCCTCCCAGGCTGAGCTGGGGGGCGGGAGCCTCACCCTCCTGGGAGGAAGCCTGCTGAACCCCGGGGTTTGGCGCCCGAGACATCAGACGCCCGGACAAGCCCCTGGGGTCGCCCACAAACCCGTCACCCTGGCACACGTAGCCGGAGGCTGCTGCCCTGTGCGTCACCACTGCCGGCGCTGGGGTGGAGACGGCGCTGCCGGCTGGACAGGACCACCCAGGCCAGGCCAAGACTCACTCGGGCATCCCAGGAGGGGCCACACAGCCGGAGCCAGATCACAGACGGGAGTGAACCACGCCCGTGGGAGACCTGTGAGGTGGGCATCACATGTCATTCCCAGGACAAGGTGACCGGCGGCGGGGGGGGGGGCGCACCCCTCCCTGGTGCAAGCACAAGGCGAGGGCAGGGCACGGGAACAGGTGCGGGCGGGGCTCTGAGGAGGGACAGGCACAGCCGTGGGTCCTCTCTGTCACCAGGGGCCCCAGCAGGAGGCTCTGGGAGCTGGGAACTCGGGCGAGAGCTGAGCAGGGCTCACCAATGACCACCTCTGCCCCTCTGCCTGCTCCCCCGCCACCCTAGAGGCCACCCCAGGGGCGCACGGCTGCCTGTACTGTCCTGCTCTTGGCCACCTCCCAGCCTCCTAGAATCTTGTGCTAAAACACCTTTCGGCCGGCGCCGCGGCTCGCTAGGCTAATCCTCCACCTGCGGCACCGGCACCCCGGGTTCTAGTCCCGGTGGGGGCACCGGATTCTGTCCTGGTTGCTCCTCTTCCAGTCCAGTTCTCTGCTGTGGCCCGGGAGTGCAGTGGAGGATGGCCCAAGTGCTTGGGCCCTGCACCCCATGGGAGACCAGGAGAAGCACCTGGCTCCTGGCTTCGGATCGTCGCAGCGCACTGGCTACAATGTGCCAGCCGTAGCAGCCACTTGGGGGGGGGGGGTGAACCAACAGAAAAAGGAAGACCTTTCTCTCTGTTTCTCTCTCTCTCACTGTCTAACTCTGCCTGCCCCCCCCAAAAAAAAAATCC